AAGGTCAGCCTACCCATGATTTCTGTTACTGAAATGTAAAATCTGATTGAAATAAGCCCAGAATATAAGGCACTTACATTGGCGTGTGAAGAAGGGTCCCTGGTTTCACTGTAACCTTTGTACTTGTCATGCTGGACAGCTGTGACAGCCAAGAGTTGTAGTGAACCAGTGTTTCTATACAAGGTTACTTTGTATGTAAATGTATTTTCCCAAGGCTGCCTCTCCTCAGCCAGTTCACACCAAATAGAAGCTTTCAATGTCAAGGTTGGGTTTGTTCAGAATCGTCAGCCCTGTCCCTTTGCCAAAGAAGAAATTGAGATGGTTAGTAGCCCAGTGACTACTCTCTGTCCTCTAGCCTTCGGGAGCAAGGTCATCGCTCTGAGGGTTTGGAAAGCATAAACTCTAAGTAGCTCTGATGAAAGCACACATTATTTATTTGGTGATGATTATGAATGCAATCCAGGCAATAAGGGAAGGAATGCACTAGGAACCAAAAGACCTTGTCCTAGATCTGGCTGTGCCACCAGCGAATTACCTTGGGCAAGATGCTTCCCCTCTCTGTACCTCCATTTGTTCATCTGTGTGGTCAGCCTGGCTGATTAAGGTCCTCAAGTCTCTGTGAGTCATTGTTCTTGTTTATTACTTGAAGGGCAGAGTTAACAGAATGACTCATGGATATAGCTCATCCATGCAGGGCAGTGACTCTGTGAACTGTTTGTCTCCGGTGGTGATGATGACATGTGTCTTGTGTGATGGTGTTTCAGTTAGGAGTGGGGTTCTTGCCCAAGGTGGCCCTTCATGTGTACAACTCGAGCAGGCTGAGTGGCTTCTTGTGGCTGGCATGCTGAAGGGCCCCCTCTTCTGCGGGCAGCAGACCTCTTCCAGAGAGGAGAAGGCCTTAAGGTATCCATCCTTGCTGTACTTCAAAGCTAAGCCTAGGCTAAGCTGTGATGCACTTCGAGGTGTTCAAGAGAAGTGGATAGCTGTTGTTGCTAATGGCAGGTACAGAAGAATGTTCAGGCCTAAAGAACCAGAATGAAATCTTCCCAAGGAGAAGTGCAAAAAGGGCAGCTGCGGTGGAGAGTGGTGGGGTCTTGGACTTTTCTGATGCTTTGGAGAAAATCTGCTATTATACAATAGAATTTGTTCTAATTGGAGCTTCACCAAAATTATATTCAGAGATGACGCTCATGATATTGTAGTCTTATTTTTATTGAGATAACAAAATTCCAAGTAACTGAATTGTGTTTATTTTATTGGGCGCTTTGACTCAGGATTTAATCAGACTTGGATGTATGTTGTTCCCTAAATCGGCACTAACAGTGGGTCCTGAGCAGGGCAGTGGTCAGCCTGGAGAATGGGCAGTGTCGGGTCATTTGGAGGGACTTTCCTATGCTGTGATTTTTCATGCAGTTGACAGGCTTTGCACAGTACCCCAGAGTGCCAGAGGACAAAACAGCACTTAGAGTGAGCTGTCAGTTACACAAAAAAAGGACAGGTTTACAAATAAGGAAACTTAGGCTCACAAAGGTGACATTTCTTCCCCAAAGCCACAGTGCTATAAGGGGCGAAGTTAGGATTTGAATTAAGATCTCTCTGGCCACAAAACTTGTACTTTTCATCATTGTGCTTGCCTCCCTCTTTGTTTAAAGGGTCAGTTGTTACCCTTCCAAAAAGAGAAGCTTATTTAGAACTAGGTGAGTAATTGGTGAGTGTCTTCCAGTGCCCACCACCAACTGAGGTGGTTGCAAAGACCACTGCATCTGAATTGCTGACCTTTAAGACAATCTGCCTCCCAGGTGTCATTTTCCCCATTTGGGAGGCTCAGCAAAAAGAAAGCCTGAGAGTGTGGCTCAGGCTCAGACTGAGCTCTGGTATTGCTGAGGGAATTCTATCCTTTACTTAAGAGGATCTTAGGGGTGCTTGAAACTGCGGGTATAATATTTTTCTCTTAAGTACATTTAGCTGTTTTATTGCCAGAACCCTCCCCCCCGCCCCAGCAGAGGCTTCAGAGTTGCCCTTGTCATGTTGATCACACCAGCTGACCTTCAGGGTCTGTCTTCCATTGCCTTCTCCAGGAGCAGCCTCTGCCGTAGACCCCTGTGGCTGTTTTGCGTCTCAGTAAGGCAGGAAGGAGAGGCTGGCCTTGTGTGTTTCATCTGCAGCCCTGTTGTTTTCGCTCCTCCGCTGTGCTCTTTGATTTATCTCCCTCATTAATCTGTGGTGCTCAGTGCTGTAAAATTGCCTGAAATGAGATCTGAAGAGAGTCCCTGACATTTTGAGGGATGCTGCAGGATTGTGTGGAGGAGATTAAAATGGGGACAGAGGGAAATGAGGTGGCTGCATGGCTCAGTGGGCTCAAACGTCCAACTTGAGCGTTTCTGTTGCCACCTCTTCCTTTAGCTGACCCTGAGGTTTGGAGAGAGAGACTCACAAATGTACGGTTTCTCTATTTGGCAAAATAAGGCTTGAAAAAAATTCTCCCTGGCCGCTTATTTGAGTTGCCTGGACATTGCTTATGGGCAGCCTATGAGTATGCAGTAGTTGAAGCCCTAGAGAAGATGTGAGCAGAACCGCAGGGCATTGTAGTGTGGGTGGGAGTCTGTCATGTCACCTCCCATAGGGTGCAAAGCGGACACTGGAAGGTGAGTGTAGAAACCACTTTGGGTGCCCTCCAGCTAACAAGAAGCTGACCGGGCACTATGTGGGGAGATGATGGTGGACCTCCAGGGCCCCTCCAACTTATGAAAGAGTTTTATGGGGAGAATAGGTTCATTTTCCCATTGTCAGTGTGGTGGCAACTCATGAGAGCTCTGGGTACACCAGAAACAGAGGCTCCTTGGGAGGCTGCTTAAATTCCACCATAGGACTCTTGGCAGTTTGAGATCTGTGGTTCTCATCTGAGTCTCATTGTCAAAAACAACAACTTTCATTCACTGAGCACCTGCTATGTTCTAAGTATTCTCCTAGCTACTCTACATAGTAGCTCTAACCTCCCAGAGGACCCACCACAACAGGAATTAGCTACATTACACAAACAAGGATTCCTGGCTCAGTGAGCTGATGTGGCTTGCTCTGGGTTATATAGATAGTGTGTGGCAGAGCTTGAATTCTAATCCAGGGCTGTCTGGCTCTAAAGCCAGTGTTGGATCAGAGACACCAGGCTGCCCCATCTCTAAACAGGGAGGGTAGGCCGCTGTTGACTAGTCCATAGATCCAGCACCCAAAAGAATCAGGAATAGCTTCCTGGCTTCTTTTACTTTACCCAGGGAGTCCCAACTCATAGTCCCTGGCTGACTATAGCCCTGCCTTCCACGCTCCTCCCTCAACCCCAGGTAGGATCCTCTGGGTGCTCTCATCTATCCAGGGTCTCTCCATAACCATGCCTTGCTCTCTGGTAGCCCTTAACTTGCCTTTGGAACCATCAGCTCCTAGGTATGGTCTCCCCAAGACTGAGAGGAAGGAAGCAGAACAAAACTGTGTTTTTCTCAGCATTCCCAGGCTTTGCACAGAGCTGGGCATGTACAGTAGGAGATGTTTGCTATATTTTAGTTAATTAATGTTATCGTAAGAAAATTAAGAAGATTGACTGAATAGTTTTTCTTCCCCTTTTCCTTCCAGTTGGCAAACTCCCCCCAAACAGTTTCAAATCTCAGCCTCTGTCTTTCTCTGTTTCTCCCTGTCTCTCTGCTTCTCTCTCTCCCTCTCTCCACCTGCCTCCCTCTCTTTCTCTCTCATTTACCATGGTCCAGGGGTCTAGGCTGCCATCCTCTCTCATCTGAGCTCTCCCACTGCAGCCTTCCAGGCCTACTGTACCCACCAGGGCCTTGATATGGTACGTTCTCCACCCAGCAGCCATTATAATCTTAACATATACATCAGATCCTCTCTGCCCCTGCCTGAAACCATCCCTCGGTATCTTTCCATTGCACCTAGAACAAAAAGGCCATAGTCCTTGCCGTGGCCTCCAGGTGGTGTGGGTTCCAGCCCCTGTGCACCTCTCCAGCCTCACCTCATCACACCAGGTCTTCTCTTTCATCAGAAGCTTTGCACGTGCTGTCCCCTGGGCTTAGGCTGTGCCTCCCACCCCTCTCCTTTTCTCCCTACAAGCCTGGTTCATTCTCTTCCTTCAGGTCTCAACTCAGACTCCACCACTTAGAGAAGTTGCTACCAACCACTCAGAAGTTTCAGCTGTTAGTTTCTTTTTGGAAACCGTTTATTTAACATCTCTTACTTTCATTTGTGTTAATTTTTATGTATTTGTCTGTTAAGTCTTTCCCACTAGATTATAGGTATCAATAAGACAGAAACCGGGTCAGTTCTGTTTGCAGGTGAATCTCCTCTCCTAGCACAGTGCCTGTCCAGAGAGGGTGCTTATACACACACCATGAAGGAATAAATGGCTGCCAGGCGCTGTGATGTGGGGCTGATGTGCAGAATATTTAAACCAATGTGCTTCTGGTGCCAACCATCCAGAACAGGGCACTAGCCAACTAGAACAGGGCTGTGACCCATTAGAAAGGGGCATCAGTTGGCTGTAAGCCACTCATGGCTGGCATAAATCAACTCTGCTGTTGTGGCACGAAGTGAACCCTCCCACTCAGTCCTCAGCCAATCCTCAAAGAGAGGTAACCATGGCCCAACTTGCCTTCAGAAAAATGGGGCTATTGATGTTCAGGAACTTTTCTTGTGGGAGACTGAATGGTTTAACCCAACCTGCTATCGCTTTGGAAAAATGTGCGTGTTTTTTGTTTTGGTTTGTTTGTTTGAGGCGGAGTTTTGCTCTTGTTGCCCAAGGTGGAGTGCAATGGTGCCGCCTTGACTCACTGCAACCTCCACCTCCCGGGTTCAAGCGATTCTCCTGCCTCAGCCTCCTTAATAGCTGGGATTACAGGCACCCGCCACCATGCCCAGCAAATTTTTTTGTATTTTTAATAGAAATGGGTTTTCACCATGTTGGCCAGGCTGGTCTCAAACTCCTGACCTCAGGTAATCCACCCACCTTGGCCTCCCAAAGTTCTGGGATTATAGGCATGAGCCACTGTGCCCAGCCAGGAAAAATTAGTTTAATTGATGTGATGCTCTGACAAGTTCAGACGCCGACTTTGCTGCTACGTAGAGGTCAGTTCACCATCCTGAGCCCCCTTGTCTTCATCGGGCTGCTGTGAAGATTAAATGAGACGGTGCCAGGCATGAGGTTAGCACAGTGCCTGGCCCAATGCCCTTGATCAACGGCAGCAATTTTTATTTACTCATGATCAGAATGCCGATTTCACAAATAAGGAAAGTGAGGCACAGAAAGGCTAAGATGCCTGAATCGGCCAGGATATACATGTGGGTCCTCTCGGCCCCAGGTCCAGCACTGCGGCCACTGGCCTGCGCCACCTCCTTGGTGCAATGTCCTCTTCTCTTTATGATCTTCTTTGGGAGGTCTCACTCAGCTCTTATCTGCCTGCTTCTTCTGTCTTCGGGGAGCTCTGGTAATAACAACAAAAAAAAAGCAGAAAGCCTGAGATCCTGATGGATAACTGGCAAAAGCTCAAGTAGCTAACACGCTCCACACCCTGGCAGGAGGGCTCCATCTTTGGAACCGGCAGACTAACCACCGTGTAACAACATCAGAGGTGCAAACCTGTTAAAATCCCCAGCAAAGGTCTTGAAACAGAACATGAAAGGGTTTACGACCCTGTGGATTTGAACTTCTCATGCAGCCAAGCTATAATTCCAGCTCTGCTTTTGGAAGTAAAGATCAGAACCATAATTTGAGGAGGGCCTCAGAGCATGCACTGATTATGTTTCAAGACACAAGCTGTGGGATGAAGCTGCCTGGGGGGAGGCCTGGGGTACTGACCAGGAAGGGGTGTGGAGGGCAGTGTGGGGAGAGTAAAGCAGGGTGTCTAGCTGAGGCAATTAAATGTCCTTGCTTCTCAGTTTAAACAAAGGCCCCAAGGAAACCTCCCAGAGGGCTGCGTTCTTAATGATCTGGAATAAAGGGGTAGTGAGCAAAGCCAGCAAGCTGGGGGAGCTAATGTGAGCCCTGGCCTTGAATGTCCCTGCAGGAAGTCAGCTAAGGAGGCCTCAGTATACATGCAGCATTTGTCATGCTAATGACCCAGCCTCTCTGGTGCCACATAGGTCAGCTCTGAGACTTCAGGTTGGAGCTCCACTGGAGAGCTGGGATGGGCGCTTCCCCTCCCTCCCTTATCCACGGCTCCATAGCACGTCGTCGTCGTCGTGTGCTGCGGTTCCTGGCAGGGTCCCTCTGCCCTCACTGCCGCTGTCCTGCTGTGCCAGTCCTGTTACCCAGCACGTCAACCCCAGCACAGCCACAGTGATCCTCCTGAAACAGAGATCTGACCCTGTGTGCCACTTGCCTGCTGAAAACCCTTCTTGGCTCTGTGTCACATACAGGATAAAGTGCAAGCCTCGGAGATGACCCTCTAGCCTTGGCCCCTGCTGTCACACCCACCTCATCCCCAGCGTCTAAGCTGACTGCACCAAATGCTTGGCAGTCTCTAGCATGCTCCAGGGTGTTGTAAACCTCTTTGCCCCTGGAATGCCCTGTCCTCACCCTTCCTTGCCAGGCTAACACATCCTCTTTCTGCATTCAGCTCTGATGCCCACTTCTAGGCATCTCAGGCTGAGTAAGTCCTTTCCTTGAGGCTCCCAAAGGACCCCCTGCAGTCCTTTATTTTAAGTCTAACCAAATCTTGACCCTTTTTTTTTCTATTTTCCCTGTTGCTTGGCTTGAAGACAGGGATTATCTTATTTATCACTGGGTTTCCAGGATCCAAAAATATGGGGTCTGTCACATAGTAGGCACTCATTCAGCATTTACTGAACTGAACTCGTTTTAGCTGGATGAGCTACCTCTCTCCATCCAGAGGCCTTGACTTTTTCATTATCAACACTCTTGTTTTTCTCACTCTCAGGACTATCAGCCCTTAGCACAGTGGGTGGCACAGAGTATAGGTCTTCAATAAAGATCAGGGCAAGCCTCCCTGAGATGATGTAGGGGTGCAGCTGCCCCCCTGTTTTAATCCATTCAGGCTGCTATAACAAAGTGTCATACATTGTGTGGCTATAAGCAACAGACACTTCTTTCTCACAGTTCTGGAAGCCAGAAGTCCGAGGTCAGGATGCCGGCCTGGTTGAGTTCTGGTAAAGGCCCTCTTCTGAGTTGCAGAAATTCTGACTTCCACTTGTACCTTCACATGGCAGAAAGAGGGCAAGCTAGCTCTCTGAGATCCCTTTTATTAGGCACTAACCCTACTCACAAGGGCTCTGTCTTCATGATTTAATCACCTCCTAAAGACTCCACCTCTAAACACTATCACATTGGGGATTAGATTTCAACATGAATTCGGGGCATGGGAAGGGGAATCCAGTCCATAACACCTCTCATCAGGCATAGTACTTGCTGGGAATTCCTTGTGTAGAAGGTGCTTTGGGTACACAGGGGCCTGGAGTGGAGCCCTTTTCAAAGATCCCAAATCCCTCTCTATATCTCAAAGATCAGGTCATGAGTGACTGAAGGAAGGGACAGAGCAGTCAGGGAAATGTCAGTGTGTTTAGATTCAGAGGGCAGAATAAGAGCACTGCAGCATGGATCAGATGAAAGGCTTCCTGCAGGTGGTAGGCTTTTAGCTGGACCTTGGAAAACATGTAGGAGTTATAGGTGGTGAGGAAGAGAAAGAGCAGTCCAGGTTTGGTGAAAAGGAAGATAGAATGTGTGGAGGGATGGAGAAAAGGGATTGAGCCTGGGGAGTTTTGTTCTCTGGGAAACCCTATCTTTGAAGGCCAACCACTTGTTTTCCGGGCCAGTAGGTGCTCCAGTAGGTGGCTATTACAAAGCCACTATAATAGCCACCTCTGGTAGCTGTGTCCCACTGTGCCCTTCAGCGGTAACCTACCCCAGTGCCCCTGGAACCATCTGTGTCAGGGGTCAGCTGTGTGTTCTTGGAGAGAAGCCTTCCAAAAACAGACTCTGATAGGCTGAGGCAAATAGCTGACTTATTCATAGATGCCCTGGGGCTCACAGTATTAGAATTGGCCACCTCCTAATGATTAAACACTACACAAACACCCGGTGACCAAGGTACCCCACCATAAATGGGCTGTAAACCAGAGTGGCAGTGGCTGTTCCACCAACTGGGAGGAAGCGAGGCTACAGAAATGCTTTCTTTCCTAAGCAGCTAGCCCTCCAGGCAGAGCCCAGAAAACAAACCCAGATCTTTCCTGCACCCTGGGAGGGAAGCTGGAAAGGGGAAAGGTGGGATCCTGAGGTCACTGAGAGTGGAAAATAACAAGCACCTCCCTCTCCTCCCCGTGCTAGGTGCTCTAAACATGCTGCACATTAACTTACATCACAACCTGGTGACAGCTGGCAATTGATCAGGGTGGCTTCAAATGACTATCTGTATTGAAAGTCTTTTATCAGCATATCCATTTATTAGAGGAAAACTACTGCCACTGTGCTCAAGTTAGATGATACAGCTGATTCAGAGACTAGGTCTTTCATCTGGAATCACACAGCAAGCAAGTGACTAGAAATAGGCCCAGAATCCAGGTCGTCTGACCCTGCAATACAAGCCCTCTCCATTATCTGAAGTGACTGTAATGAGCAACTCCCAGGGGTAAATGACTCAGCATGCCAGGCGTGGGACACTGCCTCTCTTGTTCTACCCACATGCACTTCCCTCCATCTCTAAGTTGGTTCTACGTGAGTTCAGCAGGTAAAAGAATCACCCCTGCTCTGGTCAGCTGCCTCTCCAGGAAGCAGGCAATTGGACCCTGTTGGTGGGAAAGGTGAGAGATTCACACCCACCTACCTGCACACCTCTCACTGTTCTAGACGGGCCAGACCAGGGCTGTGGGCATGAAGCGGACCTTCACCAGCCTCTAAGAACTGGGGATGAGAACAAAGCCCTTCCTTGTTGCTAGCCTGAATTATTGGGTTCTGCTGCTCTTATTCTTCAGTAAGAAAAACAGCCATCCTGTTCATTGGATTTGGATTTTCTACCTTCTGGCTTTGTCAAATTTTTAATAATAATATCTATCTCTAGTTGCTACTAGAGAGTATGGAAGGTTCATGGGAATTCAGGAATATTTGAGAAGAAAATATCTAGGAAAATTGCATGCAGTCTGAGTAAGCCACCCACCTCATTTGCTGGTGAACTCCTGAAAATTGGTTCCCAAACACCAGGGGTCTTTAAACTCCAGAGATGGAGACATGTCTGTCCAGAATCTTACCTGGAATTCCTAGTAGCAAATGTTATTACACTGGTCCTACATTCCCCTCCATATCACCTCAAAAGGCTTAATTTGTTTCTTTTGTATGTTCCTCAGAACAGTTAGAATTGTGATGCCCATGGTGGCGCATGCCTGTAATCCCAGCTACTCAGGCGGCTGAGGCAGGAGAATTGCCTGAACCCAGGAGACGGAGGTTGCGGTGAGCCGAGATCGCGCCATTGCACTCCAGCCTGGGTAACAAGAGCGAAACTCCGTCTCAAAAAAAAAAAAAAAAAAGAATTGTGATGCCCAAAGGTGGTAAGCTTGCCAGGCCAAAATATCCTCAGGAGGAACCTTTAATTTCAGAATCCATGTTTCTAGTGTAATTCACACCTTCTTTGTCCTTCAGTTTCCCTTTCTGTCAAATGAGCATGTAAAGTCCTGGTCTCTCCTCTCCCCACTGCTGTAGTCAATACTGGTGAGGAGCTCACAGGACCCCTAGGAACCCAAGGGCATTGCAAGTGCAGCGCTCTGGCCAGAGAAGCCTGGCTTCTCTCTACTGCCACTGAAGAATGGCCACCTGGTGCTAATGGAACATAAAGCACAGTGGGCTCTGATGCTGGGTGGTTTTGTATTCTGATCAGGTTACGGTAACCTTTTTCAGAACCTCCTTCCAAGAGGGGCTCAGTCCTGCCATTCTCATAAATTCCCTCTCCCTCCCGGTGCCTTAGTGTAACTTAAGGGGGTGCTGAAAGAAGATAGCATCTAAATCCACTGGGTTGCTTTTCACATTACAAGCATTAAGCTCTCATCATGGACTAGACTGGCCATGGCTGTCGCTCCAGGCACCACCAGATGTGCTTTGGGGAGTCGGGGTTTCTCGTCTGCCATTCCTTCTTTCCAATGCTTCTTTTGATGCAAGACCTTGAACCCAAGACAGTATAGCACAGTGGTTAAGAGCACAGGCTCCAGAATAGGGTTCAACTGAAAACCCAGCTCAGCCACTTGTGAACCAGTGAATGTCTTAAAGTAAATTAATGCAGATAATAAGAAGTGCTTCTTGGTGGAGTTGTGAGGTTTACCTGCAATAATCCCAATAAATGATAGCTATTGTTTGGAAGGAAGTTTCAGCTCCAAGGCAGTCTTCTGATTCATTCTCACTGGCCTACAAGCTCTCTGACAATAGAGACCCTCTCTGTCTGTCTTAACCCTTTAAAGCCAAGGCCTGAGAAGAAACTGTCACATGATAGAAGTTCAATAAGTGTTTGAGAACAATTTCAATACCAAGTGGTTCTCCTGAGTTTTAATCATTCTTTAAAAACAAAACAAGGAGAAATGAGTCCTGTGTATAATAAGAGAGATTTTTATTAAGGAGAGGAACACAGGGACAGAGAATCTACATTTCTGAGCACTTCATTGTGCCAGGCAGGGAGCTGAATGTTCAAAGTATTTTACTTCACTTCATCCTGCAGAACTCCTGCAAGGCTGGTGTGTCCTTTACTGTTCATGCCAGAAAATGGAAATGAGGTTCAGAGAAGTTAACTTGCCTGAGGTTGGACAGCTGCAGAAGCTAGAATAATAGTGATAGCAGCAGCGGCTAAAATTTATGTAGTATATACGGTGAGTCAGACACTTTACCTAAATTGGCTAATTTAATCCTCCTGACAACCAGTCAGATATCATCACTTTAACAATAAGGGACGAGCTGACTGCAGTGGCTCATGCCTGTAATCCCAGTACTTTGGGAGACTAAGGGAGGAGGAGCACTTGAGCCCAGGAGTTTGAGACCAGCCTGGGCACCATAGGAGACCTCATCTCTACAAAAAATTAAAAAATTAGCCAGGCAGCCAGGCCCAGTAGCTCACATTTCTAATCCCAGCATTTGGGAGGCCAAGGCAGGCGGATCACCTGAGATCAGGAGTTCAAGACCAGCCTCGTCAACATGGTGACACTCCATCTCTACTAAAAATACAAAAAATTATCCGGGCATGGTGGTGGGTGTCTGTAATCCCAGCTGCTGGAGAGGCTGAGGTAGGAGAATAGCTTCAACCGGGGAGGTGGAAATTGAGCTGAGATTACGCCGTTGCACTCCAGGCTGGCAACAAGAGCGAAACTCCATTTAAAAAAAAAAAGACAAATTATTAAAAAATCTGGAGCCAACAAACACATGAAAAAATGCTCACACTGGTCATTAGAGAAATGCAAATCAGAACTACATTGAGATACCATCTCACAGCAGTTAGAATGGCGGTCATTAAAAAATCTGGAGACAAGAGATGCTGGAGAGGATGTGGAGAAATAGGAACACTTTTACACTGTTGGTGGGAGTGTAAATTAGTTCAACCATTGTGGAAGACAGTGTGGCGATTCCTCAAGGACCTAGAAATAGAAATTCCATTTGACCCAGCAATCCCATTACTGGGTTTATATCCAAAGGATTATAAATCGTTCTACTATAAGGACTCATGCACACGAATGTTCATTGCAGCACAGTTTACAATAGCAAAGACCTGGAACCAACCCAAATGCCCATCGACGATAGACTGGACAGGGAAAATGTGGCACATATACACCATGGAATACTATGCAGCCATAAAAAACGATGAGTTTGTGTCCTTTGTAGGGACATGGATGAACCTGGAAACCATCATTCTCAGCAAACTGACACAAGAACAGAAAATCAAACACCACATGTTCTCACTCATAGGTGGGTGTTGAAGAATGAGAACACATGGACACAGGGAGGGGAGCACTACACACTGGGGTCTGTGGGGGGAAATAGGGGAGGGACAGCGGGGCTGGGGAGTTGGGGAGAGAGAGCATGGGGAGGAATGCCAGATATAGGTGAAGGGGAGGAAGGCAGCAAATCACACTGCCACATGTGTACCTATGCAACAATCTTGCATGTTCTTCACATGTACCCCGAAACCTAAAATGCAAAAAAGACAAATTAGCCAGGCATAGTTGCACATGCCTGCCGTCCCAGCTAGTTAACTGAGATAGGAGGATCACTTTAGCCTGGGAGGTTGAGGCTGCAGTGAGGTGTAATCGTACCACTGCATTCTAGCCTGTGCAACAGAGCAAGACCCTATCTCAAAAAGAAAAAAAAAGAGGCCAGGCGCGGTGGCTCACGCCTGTAATCCCAGCACTTTGGGAGGCCGAGGCGGGTGGATCACGAGGTCAAGAGATCGAGACCATCCTGGTCAACATGGTGAAACCCCATCTCTACTAAAAATACAGAAAAGTAGCTGGGCGTGGTGGCGCGTGCCTGTAATCCCAGCTACTCAGGAGGCTGAGGCAGGAGAATTGCCTGAACCCAGGAGGCGGAGGTTGCGGTGAGCCGAGACTGCGCCATTGCACTCCGGCCTGGGTAAAAAAAGCGAAACTCCGACTCAAAAAAAAAAAAAAAGAAAAGAAAAGAGAGGACCAAGGTACAAAAAGGCAAAATAATTTATACATGATTGGTGGTAGAGCTGAGACTGCACCCTAGTTTCCAAAGACTATTTTCTTCTTCTTCTTTTTTTTTTTTTTTTCTTTTTGGAGATAGCGTCTTACTTTGTCACCCAGGCTGGAGTACAGTGGCACAGTCTCAGCTGCAGCTGCCTCCCAGGCTCCTCCCACCTCAGCCTCCAGAGTAGTTAGGACTTCAGATATGTAGCACCATGCTCAGCTAATTTTTATATTTTTTGTAGAGACAGGGCTTGATCATGTCATCCAGTCTGGTCTTGAACTCCTGGACTCCATGGCCTTGGCCTCTCAAAAGTATTAAAATGACAGGCTTGAGCCACTGCACCCGGCCCATTTTCTCCTTGTCTCCTGGAAAGCATTAGTAAGGACTGTGTAGGTGTAGTAAGGACTCCATATGACTTTCTGAAACAGAAGAATTAGGTGATTAAGTAAAATAGCGGCACTGCTTTCCCTAAACGTTTTGAAAATGAGACTCCCTGTTCATATGCCCAGAATGTGTGAACAGACCTTTTCCTGGAGGTGCAGGGCAAGTTTGAGAGAACCTTTGAGTCCTCTTGGGGCCTTGCCTCATCTCTCCACATTGATTGGGTTGGCAGTATTCTTTTCACTGAAGAAACTGATCTGCTTTTCTGTGGAATGAAATGACAGGTTAGAAAGGCTCTCAAAGTCTAAATTTAGCCAGTACAGTGTATTCATGTGCCATGCACTCGGGTCACCAGGAGAAGATAGATTTGACAGGTTGGCTGGCGGACAAAAACCAGCCCTTGAGAAGTCAGTTCTCCTTTGAAAGGTAAGTCAGACTAATTATTTGTCTCCATTGAGCCTAGTGTGTGAGCCCCCTGATCAGCGGCGGCAATGGGAGAATGGAGTGGTGGTACCAGGAGGCACAATTGCCACCGCTCTGGGGCTTCTGCTGTGATTGTCTTCCAAGACCGGCAGCCTGCCATCCCCAGCTGCACACTTTAGAGCCTTTGCTTTATAGTGCTGTTTTGAATTTGTAAAAACATTTTATGTTCACAAAAACAAAAAATATTTTTATAGAAGAGAAAGTTATGATACTTTACCCCTTGTAGAAATCTTGTGAAATTGGTCATTGAGGGAGCCTTGTTTTGTAGAGCAAAGTTGCAGAACTCAAATGTTTCAGAACTCTCAGCCTGTGTATTTTAAGTTTAAATCAGGCCAGGCACGGGTGACTCACACCTGTAATCCCAGCACCTTGGGAGGCCAAGGTGGGCAGATCACCTCAGGTCAGGAGTTCGAGACCAACCTGGCCAACATGGTGAAACCCCATCTCTTCTAAAAATACAAAAATTAGCCAGGTGTGGTGACGCGTGTCTGTAATCCCAGCTACTCAGGAGGCTGAGGCAGGAGAATCACTTGAACCCAGGAGGTGGAGGTTGCAGTGAGCCAAGATTGCACCACTATACTCTAGCCTAGGCAACAAAGTGAGACTGTCTCAAAAAAAAGTTTAAATCAGTGTATGTGTATGAATGCCTGTCGTCTTCTCTGTCTTTTCTCTATCACTTTTGACTCTTTTCAGCTACTTCTTGAGACCCAAAAACTTCCAGAGAGCTATTCCTGCCCCCTAATTTTTCCTGGAGGTGCAGGGCAAGTTTCAGGGACACAAGCAAGCAAGCATGCTCGCAATCAGCATCTTAAGCTTGACCCTTAGGATAGAGGCTCAGATGAAAATCATTCACACCAAAGTTGTGTCCAGGCAACAGCCAACAGACTTTGGAAAAGGACTTAACCACTACGAGAGATGACTAAATTTAGACTTGTGTATTTTTTTCTGTTGCTTGTGTCTTTGATCCACTTGGCAGTTGAAAATTTAAGTTCCTCAGACTTTTTTTTTTCTTCTCTGCCTGCTTGTTTTGCTAGATAAACCATTTGCACAGAGTGGTGTGTGTGCGCCTGCACATGCTTAATTTCTCTGGCATCTGATAAATGTTTTGAAATAGGATAATGCTGGAAACATTTTTTATTACTTTACAGTGCTTTGCTTAAGTAGAATTGATTCTTTTCCTTGACTGCTGTGTTGTTGCATTTTTTTTTAAATGAATTAGATTGCCCCAACTACTTCTCCTTATCAGTCTCATCCTGTTTAACCATCACTTCCTGTAGTGCTTACTGGCAAATGAGACTTCACATCCCTACGTGGCTACACAGGCATCCGTGAGACCTCCCTGACCTTGGGAGAGGAATTTGGAATTCCTAGTCTGTAACGGGGAGAGATGAAGGTGCAAAACAAAAGCATAGATTGAAGGTTGGAGGTCTGAAGTTTAACCTTGGATCTACCCCTAAACTCTTTGACCTCAAGCAAGGTACTTCTCCCTCTGAGCTTACTTACTCAAATATGGATTTGAGCCAAATGGCTCCTGATTTTCTTTTCCAGCTCTGAGCATCTAGAGTGACTTCAATTCACCAGATAACCAACCCGGTATAAAATTTGAGATTTGATTATCCAAAATGAAATGCATGGAGGCAGGTGTTCATTGAACTCATTGGCATCTGAACAAGGCTCTAGAACCAGTGGCAAATGAGCTGTGAGACAGTGTTGTGATTTACAGCCTTCCATGGGGTGACATCATAATTTTTAAAATGTTGACTTTGTCAAAGAAATTAGATAAAATGCAAACAACACAGTGAGATTTCTGAATCGGGAAGCAGAGCCAGAGTAATTTTCCTTTGGTATGTCTGCATCCCTGCTACCCACAGCTTTTTTAAAAGCAGTAATGCCTGCCTATGAGCTTCTGATCCCACTTGGATAAAGTTCAAACTGTTACCAGGCTTACTGTGAGATCTGGCTCCTGCTATTCTTCCCCTCCTTCTCCTCTCTTCAACCACACTGAGTTACTTGCTTCCCCACACCCCCAAGCCATCCTTTTTCTTGCCTTCTAACTTTTGCAGAGACATTCTCTTCACCCTTACCCCATCCCTCAGGGCTTACGTTAAATGTCACCTCCAGGAAGCTTTCTCTAACTACCCCACACCAAAGACCAGATTGGGTGGCCCTCCTATTTGCTTCCTTGATAAGCCTGAACTTTTCCTTATCATAGCACCAAATATATCATAGTGTAAATGTTCGCTACTAGGCTGTCACTTCATCTATACTCTAAGCACCTTGAAGGCAAGAACCTATCTTGTTCACCAGTGATTCCTCATTACCCCGGCTAAATGAGGAAACTGCTCAGACAGGTAGACTAGCTTCAGTCTATATAGCTCAGCTTATTAGTGAAGCCAGAATTCACTCCCAAGCCTGCCTCTTTCAACCCCACCCCTTTCCATTCTGTAAGACTTCTTACCCTGACCCATCTTCCCCCTAATTGTGAAGAGGTCTTTTTTCTTGAGATAACTTCTATGATCTCATAAGAATGACTGGGGGAAAATGGAATTTGTTTTGCAGACCTTTGATTTAGAGACTCATTTGCAAGATTGCCTGCCCCTGTGGATCAAGACTGCAAATGAGAACACTTAGGTCAATTGGCTTAAATGGCACCGTGTCTGCTGTGCAAATAGGGGCTTAATAATTGTGAGTCTCCTTTTCTCCCTGGAGTTTGATATACTTTCCCACCCAGATGCATTTGTGAGATAAGTGTGACAGCCCCCACCGACTACCTTTTTTTTTTTTAATTTGTGAATTTTGAAATCCAAACACGCGTCTCTGTTTCTTAGATTCCAGCAGCTTTAAATGTCCTTGGATTTTTTTTTAGAAAGGACCCAAGTCTATAATATATGTACAGCTGTGGCTCTTATCAAAATGTAGACATGCCTCTCATTACTGCTAATTGCATTTCTACCACTGGGTGATCTGGACTCAAACCTTCTAGTTCTGTGACTGGTTATCTATTTTATAGCATTGGCTACTTAGGATACATTACAGTGTCTTCCATGCAGCTGCTCTTTAGGTAAATTAATACCTGGGGGTCTTTTTCCATCTCTAGGAAACTTTAAGTACTGTAACAGGCTTTCATTTAAGCCTGTGCAAGGCTTATTTCACCAGATTGCTATTTAGAAGTTCTAACAAAACACCTTTATGAATAGCAACCGTAATACCCTTAATCTGCTAAACTTCCTGACATTTTAAACTAAGTGGATAGCTAGGAATGAAATCAGGCTTTCCCATCTCTCTAGTCTCTTCCTCTCCCCAGCCCTGCCTATGTCTTCAGGATCAAGGTGCTGGGGTGCAAATTCCTTCTTGCTATTAGGCCACCAAACTAGCAAAAACCAGGAAACACAATGTGGTTTCTCCAGACTCCAGGTTATGCAACTACCTGACCCATAGCTTTTTTAAAAAACAAGTTTTGATGAGGTTTCTGTTTCTGACAAAAAATTGGCATTTAAAAATATTCAATGTGGGCCAGGCGCAGTGGCCCACACCTGTGTAATCCTAGCACTTTGGGAAGCCAAGGCGGGCGGATCATTAGGTCAAGAGATTGAGACCATCCAGGTCAACATGGTGAAACCCCATCTCTACTAAAAAATACAAAAAATTAGCTGAGCGTGGTGGCGCACACCTGTAGTTCCAGCTACTCGGGAGGCTGAGGCAGGAGAATTGCTTGAACCTGGGAGGCGGAGGTTGCAGTTAGCCGAAATCGTGCCCCTCCACGCCAGCCTGGTACCTGGTGACAGAGGGAGCCTCTCTCTCTCAAAAAAAAAAAAAAAAAAAATTAAATGTGATTTTCTTTGTTTTCTTTTTGTTTTTCTTTTTTTTTTGAGACAGAGTCTGGCTCTTTCACCAAGACTGGCGTGCAGTGGCGCAATCTTGGCTGACTGCAACCTCTGCCTCCCAGCTTCAGGTGATTCTCCTGCCTCAGCCTCCTGAGTAGCTGGGATTACAGGTGCACGCCACCACACCCAGCTAATTTTTGTATTTTTAGTAGAGATGGGGTTTCACCATGTTGGTCAGACTGGTCTTGAACTCCTGACCTTGTGATCCGCCCACTTCGCCTCCCGAAGTGCTGGGATTACAGGTGTGAGCCACCGTGCCCAGCTCTTTGTTGTTGTTGTTTTTTAACCCATGTTTAATTTTGGAAAAAATATTGAAATGCAGATAAGCAAACAAAAGGGATAAAAGAAAAAGACTGTAATGTTATATGACACAGAGAAATCCATCATTAACACGTTAGTGCTTTCCAGGTGTTTTTTATTCATGTAAGCACTTAGATGTTTTATTTTTTGAAAGACCAAACATGTCTGGAATACTTACTTGCTATGAACCACACACTATTCTAAATTCTTTACATGTATTGCTTCATTTGGTGTTTACAACACCTCTGGGAGTAACAACTCATTGTACAGGTGATGAAACAGACACACGTCACTTAAGCAACATGTCCAAAGTCACGCATCTAAAAGTGGCAGAGCCAGGATTTGTAGCTAGACAGTGTGACTCTCTAGTCTTTAATTTTAATTACATTGTATAGCCTCTAAAAATGAGATGTTTTATAATCTAACTTCGTAGTTTCATACTACAGCATGAGGACCCTTCTTTATCAGGATTCATTAGCATCATTCTTAATGATCACATACAGTATTCTGTTCTATGAAGGAGCCATAATTTGATTAACTTTCTTCTTACTGATGGATGTTTAGGGTGTTTCACTTCTTTTGTTCTTATAAACAACAATGCAAAGACCATTCTTGGACCTAATGTATGCACACTAATGTAGGCTGCCAATAAAGCCTGTATTCTATATTTCCCTTATAATTCTGACATTTGTGTGTGCAGATGATGCCCCTGAGGCACTACAGAGGAGCATAGTCTTGAGTGTATTCTGGTGATGGGGCTACCCTGAACCATTCACACACTTTCTCTGTCCATACTCCATTGTTCCTGGTACGGTGTTTGGAAGAAAGTTAACTAAGAATGGAGTTTCTGTCTAGGTCCAGCTAGCTGCCTGCAGCTGAACCTACAAATACAGCATCAGTTTGCATTGTGCTCTGAATTGAATGAGGACATTTATCTTTCTTTCTAAACTTAAGTGAAAGTATAGAACTTGAAACTATTAGGTTGGTGCAAAAGTAATTGCGGTTTTTGCCATTACTCTTTTTTTTTTTTTTTTTTTTCCTAAAGATGGAGTTTCACTCTTGTTGCCCAGGCTGGAGTACAATGGCGTGATCGTGGCTCCCTGCAACCTTGCCTCCTGGGTTCAAGCAATTCTGCTGCCTCAGCCTCCTGAGTAGCTGGGATTACAGGCATGTGCCACCACGCCCAGCTAATTCTGTATTTTTTTGTTTTTTCAGTAGAGACAGCATTTCTCCCTGTTGGTCAGGCTGGTCTCGAACTCCCAACCTCAGGTGACCCACCCACCTCGGCCTCCCAGAGTGCTGGGATTACAGGCGTGAGCCACCATGCCCAGCATGCCATTACTTTTAATTGTGAAAACTGCAATTACTTTTGCACCAACCTAATACTATGGTGGTACCCACTGATAGCATCACCCATTCATGACCAGGTGCAGTGGCTTAAGCCTGTAATCCCAGCACTTTGGGAGGCCAAGGTGGGTGGACCACCTGAGCTCAGGAGTTCAAGACCAGCCTGGCCAACATGTTGAAAACCCATCTCTACTAAAAATACAAAAATTAGCTGGGCACGGTGGCACATGCCTGTAATCCCAACTACTCAGGGGCCTGTGGCAGGAGAATCACACGAACCTGGGAGGCAGAGGTTGTAGTGAGCCGAGATTGCACCAGTGCACTCCAGCCTGGGCGACAGAGTGAGACTCTTGTCTCAAAAAAAAAAAAAAAGACTGACTCCTGTAGACAGAAAGAAAGGGAGGGAAAGAGGGACCAGGGGATAGGGTTGTTGTTAGTACACTCTAATACTCAAACCAGTGATGTGGCTATTTGTAAAGTCAAGAAAGTCATCCCCAATGTGCCAGTTACCAGTCTCAAGGCAAAAATCCAGAGGTGATTAAGAGTAGTTTTAAGCATGGGCTTTGAAATCAGGAGCCTGGGGGCTTACCATCAGTGTGGCCTTGGGCATGTTACTTAACCCACTGCTCCCCAATTTCTTCATCTAAACAGGATGATTATACATACTGCATATGGAATGTCAGAAGGATGAAATAAGACCAGAAAACTCATCACAGTAACCACCATGATAAGAACTCTATAAATGGGAGCTTAAGAAAGCCCCAGAGGATACCGATTTACAAATAAGGCAGACCTGGGTCCAGATTTTGGCTTTAGCATTTTTTAGCTATGTGACCTTGAACAACTTACTTAACCTTTCTAAGCTGTAGATCATCTGTACATGGGAGATAATAAAATCTGTCATCCTGGGATATTGTGAGTTTTGACACCAATGTTGTATACAAAGTTAGTAGAGCCTCTGGTGCACTGTTGCTTTTCGGAACCAATAGCAAAATTTTTAAGCACTTTCTGTGTGCCACTCTATTTAACTTCTCTTCTTCCATTCAAAACAGTTTTGCTCTTAGAGACTAATGGTCAAATGGAAGGAGTTTAATCCTTAACCAGTCTATAACTTTTCAGCTAGCCTGCCTGCTAGGCAAGTACCTAGAATGAGTTAAGCTCTTTGCCAAGCTTTTTTCTTGTTCCTTTCATCATATACAAGATTGTGGTTTAGAGGTTGGGAAAGGTTTTGTGAACCTATTTTATAGTCCCTGTAAACTCGGAAGGGAAACAATGAAATACCAAGGCTAAGGTATAGAACAGGTTTTCTTACAAGAGAAACTGCGGGATCAGGTATTTACAGCATTTCATACAATACCCGGCCCCTAGAAAGTCTGCAGTAAATTCAAGGCCTGTCCCCAGTAGGGGACAGACGGATCATGAGTCAAATTCACAAGGCAAATGAATTTTCTTTTGAAAAGGAATTCAGTGGGAGATCTAGGGGTATAGTTTTACAAAACATTCATACTTAGAAGGTCTTAGAGGACCTCTGGGGCGGCAGCCTGCTCAGGGAGCAGGCGAGTAATCTGAGAGCCACAATCAGGAAGTGATTTGGCCAAAGTCAACATGGTGACAGATGTAGAACAAGAGCTCAGCCCCGAACTTCTTTTCTGTTCTAGTGTTCTATCCTCTGCCCTGCAGTGTGCTCTACAACAGGAGAGCTGCATGACCCTCATGCAGGGAAAACTTTGGGTGCAGGAAGTGCAGTGAGATCAGTGTCCCAGCTGTTGGCTTAAGTCACAGTCTGCCTGGAGGCTGCCCATGATAAGCACCTACAAGTTTCCTCTCCAGTCCCTTCCTTCTCCCCTATTACACTTCCCCCTCCTTACCCCAGACACCTGTCCCTCTGCCTCATTATCTCACCCTATGTAGACACACTCAAGGATGTCCTTGGAGCTGGATTCCCGTTGGAGCCAAAAAGTAGCACTGAAACATTTTATTCATTCCCCATCCATCTTAATAGAAATAATAGTACAGCTGCAAAAATATACATTCGAACTCTCTCTATGCCTTCACAGCACCCTTAATAAAGTATGCATCTTCAAAGCCAATCATGCTCTTTTAAATCTTCTCTAATTTTCTCTTTTTTAAAAGACCAAAGCCAGGTGAGGTTGCTCACATCTGTAATATTCCAGCACTTTGGGAGGCTGACGGGAGAGGATTGCTTGAGGCTAGGAGTTCAAGACCACCCTGGGCAACAAAGCAAGACCCTGCCTCTACAAAAAAATTTAAAAATTACCCAGTCATAGGCTAGGCGCGGTGACTCACACCTGTATTCCCAGCACTTTGGGAGGCCAAGGCGGGCGAATCTCCTGAGGTCAGGAGTTTGAGACCAGCCTGGCCAACATGGCAAAACCCCGTCTCTACCAAAAATACAAAAATTAGCTGGGTGTGGTGGTGTACACCTATAGTCCCAGCTACTCAGGTGGCTGAGGCAGGAGACTCGCGACTCAGGAGGCAGAAGTTGCAGTGAGCCAAGATCACGCCACTGCACTCTAGCCTGGATGACACAGCGAGACTTTGTCTCAAAAATAAAAAAATAAAAATTAGAGGCACGATGGGACATGCGTGTAGTCCCGGCTACTGGCGAGGCTGAGGAGGGAGGATTACTTGAGCCCAGGAGTTTAAAGTTGCAAAGAGCTGATATTGTGTCACTGCACTCCTGCTGGGCAACAGTGAGACCCTGTCTCAAAAGAGTAGTTAATTAATAAATAAAAGACCCAATTGCCACATGGATTTGCTTCTTTGGGTTTTTTGCTATTTTCCTCTAAATAACCAGATTTATGGTCATGACCAAAGAGGCAGGAGAGCCTTGCTCCAGACTGCTTCCTGAAATACGTGCAGAGCCTTCCAATCTGCTGCTACTCCTTATGGCCTTGGAAACAATGACACAGAAATTTTTGTGGCTGTTTTTCTTAGGGGTGTTTGGGATTGGGTTTTATGGGGTAATCTAGGTTTTGCTATTTAGAAAGCTACATCTAGGGACAAGTTTCAAAATTTTCACCAAAACTGTCAAATTTCAGCATTGCACAGCATTCCTATAGAGGCAGCCTGAGTACAAATTTTTCTGGCTTTGTGGACAATAGTTGCCTTCTCTTCTCCCCTATAATATGTTCTCACAGTTTACTATTTCTTTCTTTAATGACGTGTATCGCAGATTGCAGTTAAAAGTATTTGTTTTTTATTTGACTGCTTGACAACCTCACATACACCCAACTATAAGCTCCAAGAGGGAGTAGAGAGAGACATCTTCTCTTTGACATACCACTGTTTCCCCCATACAATGCTTGGTACACAAAAGTCAACATCCAGCCAATATTTTAAAGAGAACAATCACTGTAAATATAGGAGGAGCGACTATAGTGTGGAATTTGGTAAATGAGTGTATCTCAATTGGACCAAACCCAAAAGTATGAGAAGCCACTGAAGGACTATGGGATAGCCTATGACTGGCCCTTGCCCACTAAGTGTCTTAGTGTCATGTGTTGGCAGAGTGACCTGGAGGTGTTCACTCTCCTAATGCCGTGTCATGGAAATCAAATAGGATTTGGCTCCAGTCTGTCGCTTAGCAGTTGTATGACTATGGGCAAATTAAATTCTCTGAACATCGATTTTTTTTTCATAACATGGGGATAATAACACGTTAGAACAGTTCTTAGAATTAAATGAGATGAGCTGTGTAGGCAGGAAAGCTTATAAAGCCTAATTATCATTATTGTTGAGAGTAACATTGACCTCGTATGTCCTTTATTGGAAATGCTGCCATTTTGGAGTTGATGCAGCTGATTGGCCCCTTCCAGAAAAGACATCCCTGATGCTGGACTGAGGGTGGGAAATCTGGATTTGTGAGTTGAGGCTGAAGATCCTGAAGACCCTGGCACCCACGTGGTCCTGTTCCTCAGCCATCTGTAGGGTTTTGTTAACAAGCCACTGGTTTCAGATTTAGAATGGGAAGGGCATAAGCATGGATAACAGATTGGATACTCTTCCTGCTGAATGAAGCCTTTTGTTTAGAGATTAAGGATTATGTGTGCTTTTGCATGTGAGTACTCACAAATGTGGACTCCAGACAATCTCAACAATTAACCAATGAGAGGTAACGGAAACTGCAACTCCATAAGATAAAATATTTGAAGCTGAAAGGCAGTTCATTCTGTTTTTGTAATATAATTGGAGAATAGCATCACCACTTCACTGAAAGCTGTAGGGAGGGATGGAGGGAGGGAGTGATTGATCCACAATCTCAGTAAATGTAAAGAATGAGGTCACGCTTCCCAGGACCCAATGGAAGCAGAGATTCTGCATAAGAATATGAACAGGGCCGAATGCAGCAGTTCACACCAGTAATCCCAGCACTTTTGAGAGGCTGAGGCGGGCAGATTGCCTGACCTCAGGAGTTTGAGACCAGCCTGGCCCACATGGTGAAACCCCATCTCTACTAAAATACAAAAAAAAAAAAAAAAAAAGCCAGGTGTGGTGGCACACACCTGTAGTAACAGCTACTCAGGAGGCTGAGGCATGAGAATTGCTGGAGCCTGGGAGTCGCAGGTTGCAGTGAGCGGAGATTGTGCCACTGCACTCCAGCCTGGGTGACAGAGCAAGACTGTCTCCAAAAATAAAAATAGAAAATAAAAGAAAAAAGAACATTTATAGGAAGGGAGGCCCTCTTGCTTTGAGGTCCTAATTCCCAGAAAAGAATGGAGGAAATGGAAAAGGAAGAGGGGAGGTGCAGAGGCACACTGACTACATCTCAAACTATATATTGACACCTCCCTAGGATCGTTATTAATGGGTTTGAGAGTTCTCCAGAGGATAGACCTGCTTTTCCACTGATGTCCCCACATCCACTTACTAGGCTTCAAACATGGTAGCCACCTTTCAGCTCCTCCAGCACACCCAGCCTCTCTCTTCCTCTGGTCTTTGCACTTGATGTGTCTCCCACCCGCCCCCGATCCCTTCGTCTGGAACACCTGGCTTTCTCCTTCTGATGGCTGGTTGGTGCCCTCTCATCTTTCATGTCTTCCTTTAAATGTCACTTCCTGGGAATGGCCTTTCATGACCGTGCTATTTAAAGTAAGTGCTTCCTGTGTGACTCTCTTTCACAGCACTCTGTTTATTTCTGTCATCACTTTCCCCGTAACATCCATAATGATTTTGCCTGTTTGTCTCCTCCGTGTAAAGAGCTCTGTCAGGACTGGGGCATTTCCTTTTTCTCCACCTTGTATTCCCAGTGTCCAGTCTCGTATCTGGCAAAGGTTTTACGTTGACTTTTTGTTGAATGTTGTTCATTTTCTACCCCAAAGCTGCCTAGTTTCTTACAATGCGTGTTGAAAATCATAAACTCCCTGGTATGAACTGCTATACTTCAAAAGCTTTGCCAAAGACTCACACCCAGTAAACTTCCACACCAGGCAATGCGATGTGTGTCACATCTTTTCATGTGTCCCATACACACAGATCCTCTATTAAACCTTTATGTTTTCATTTTTGTTCATTCATCCAGGAGAGCTTTCCTGCCTTCCTCCCTCCCTTCCCTCTCTCTTTGTTCTATTACCAGCAAACCAGAAGAAAGCAACTGAACTGAGTATAATGCTGGTTCCCAAATTAAGCAAACAAAAAGTCAGTATCAAAATGACTCACACCTGTAATCCCAGCACTTTGGGAGGCCAAGGCAGGAGGATCACTTGAGGTCAGGAGTTTGAGACATGGCGAACTCCTAGCTAACATGGTGAAACCCAGTCCCTACTAAAAATACAAAAATTAGCCAGGAATGGTGGTGCATGCCTGTAACCCCAGTTGCTCTGGAGGCTGAGGCATAAGAATCACTTTGAACCCGGGAGGTGGAGGTTGCAACGAGCCAAGCTTGTGCCACTGCACTCCAGCCTGGGCAACAGAGCGAGACTCAGCCTCAAAAAAAAAAAAAAAAAAAAAATGAAACTAAAGTGGTACTATAAAACTCAGAAGCAGCTGCCCTTAACCTGGGCTTTATGGACAGGATTCAGGGGATCAGTGAGTCCCTTTAAATTTTGTGTAAAATATTGTTTGTATATCTTTTTTCTTGTGGACACACAGACCTAAGTTTCTGTCAGGTTCTCAAATGGATCTGGGACCAAATAAAACCATTGAACTAAAGTCCTTGAAAGTCCTACAATGTCCCCAGGAGACTGTGTAGCGTAATCAGTTCCATTTTGTCCTCCTGTGCTTGGTGGATCCAGGACCACATCAGCAGTGATCTAGGCACTGGGAGGATATGGCTCAGAACAAAAGCAAACAGCACACCTGTGCTCAAGGAGCTCACTGTGTTGAGGGAAAGACAGACTGTTGAAAGACGATGTGTTGACTGGTCGACGCCATGAAGAAAACCATATGGTGGAATATAATTGGGCCAGGGTCTAAGAGGAAATCCCTGAGGAGGTGCCACTGCAACCGAGATCTGACCCATGAGAAGTGGGCAGCCATGGGGGTTGTGGGGAGGAGCATTACAGAAAGGAGGCACAGTGCAAGGGCTGAGGAATTGGGAAGAAGCTTTGTGCATTTGTGGGTCCTGTCTTGAAGAGGAGGAGCCAGACCATTTGAGGGCTTCCAGGCCAAGGGAACAAATTTGAATTTTATTCTCAGTTCCCTGGGAAGCCATCAGTGGGCTTTAAGCAGGAATGTGACAGCTTCTGCTGCACACCTGAGAAAGATTGGTCGCTGGGGTGTGCAGGATGGAGCCTAGCAGGGCATGAGGGAAGGCTGAGCGACATGGGAGGTGGCTGTTGCGGGAAAGAGATGATGGCAGCTTGGTCCAGGGTTATCTTACTGCAGATGTTCAGTAGTGATCGGGTTCAAGGTGTATTTGGGGGCTGTAGGCAAAAGGACTTCTTAATGGATTACATCAGAGGTAAGAAGGAAAGAGAGAATTAGGATGGCTAATGGATAGTCATACTTTGAGATGCAGAAGACTTTGGGAGTGGGGATGCAGACACATTGGAAGTTGGAGAAATAGTTTTGAGTAAGGTAAATTTGATTTCAGATGTGTTGAGTACACAAAGGGGCCAGGCTAGAGATTACAGACTTTCAAGTTATCTGCCGGCACCTAGTATTTGAAGCCATGGGTGAGATCACCCAGGAAAAGTTAGATAAAAGTGGTAGTTAAAACTTAGTTATAAGTTAGTTAGAAGTTGTAGTTAGAGAAGAGGAGGAGTCCAGGGATGGAGGCCCTGGAGGTCTGGAGAGGTGAAGAGGAGGGTGAGCCCAGGAGACTGAGAAGCACAGACAGTTAGGGAGGTAGGAACCAGGTGCAGATGACAGTGCGGAAACCTGAGATGAGGCCCACTCAAGAAGGGAGAATCTTTTGATGCTACCTGCTGCAGCTAAAAACTCAAGTTAGGGTAAGGACAGAGAGCTGACCATTGGCTTTGGCAAGGAAGAAGCCATTGATGTTCTCAGGGAAAACAGAAAGTGGGTCAGGCGCAGTGGCTCACACCTGTAATCCCAGCACTTTGGGAGGATGAGGTGGGCGGATTGTGAGGTCAAGAGATCAAGACCATCCTGGCCAGTGAAACCCCATCTCCAGTAAAATACCAAAATTAGCTGGGCATGGTGGCGTGCACCTGCAGTCCCAGCTACCCAGGAGGCCAAGGTAGGAGAATTGCTTGGACACGGGAGGCGGAGGTTGCAGTGAGCCGAGATCACACCACTGCACTCCAGCCTGGTGCCTGGTGACAGAGGGAGACTCTGTCTCAAAAAAAACGGAAAGTGGTCTCAGTGGAGTAGTGGGAACGAAAATCTTGCCTGGTGGATTGAAGAGATCATGGGACATGAGAAGTACAAAAAGCTCCTTTGAGATGTTTTCCTGTAATAAGGAGCAGAGGCTGGCATGATGGTGGAGGAAAATATGGGCATAGGGTCAAAAAAAGGTTTCATTTTATTGATGAGATTAGTAATATATTTCTCAGCCTGCAGGGAAAAGCCAGGAAAGAGGGGGAAATTGAATATGTTGGAGGGAAAAGAGCAAAGTGTCTTCACTAGTATTGTTTTCATAAAATACTCATTAGAAATAGGTGAACATCTTTTTCGATTCATCCTTATGGTTTTCTATTTTGTCTAATAATGTACTGTGTTCCAAGAATAAAGTTTTCTTCTCTTTGATACCTGGGTAGAGTTTATCAGCTACATTTTGTTTGTAAAAATGGCTCTGTGAGACTTGGAAACCTTAACACCATTGATAACATTGTTTCTGTGAAGAAATGTGTTATGAGTTCTGGAAGGCCTTTGGAATTTGGCCTGTTTAGAAGCAGGGGTCAAAAATGACAGGGCAAGCTTGGCTCTTTGAAAAGCGCCAAAGGGCATCTGCCCTCATGGAGTTGGTTTACTTTCCCTCTTCCTCTCCCGTTGCCTGGATCTCCCTTATCCCTGCTGATTATTATCTTTCAAACCATAAGAAAGCCCTGACTCACTTAGAGCCTGTAGCTGCAAAGAGTTGAGAACCTTTCACATGAATGGTGTGCTTCTTTTAACCATAGAAAGAAAACTAAGACCTCCTTAAAGCACTTTGTCTCCTACAATATGCTCGCCCTTGTATAATCAGAATAATATGTTTAGCATTGTACATTTACAAGAACTTTTATAAAAAGGAGGAACTCCATCTATTAACTCTCCAATGTAGCTCTCACCCTCAGAGTAAAAGATAGGCTGCTTACACTGACATGCATGGCCTCACTCAGGCAATCTTCTCTCTCCCTGTACCCTTGGACTGTCCGGGGCTGACCCACTCCTAACCCCACTTCGGTTCACCACTCACTGTGCTGCAGCCACTCATTGGAATGCACTGCAAGTCATATACTATCTCAGGGCCTTTGCACTGACCATTTCCTCTGTTGGAAGTCTCTTATCCCCAGGTGTTCAGATACCCAGCTCCCACAGTTTTTTTACATTTGTAATAACATTCCCTCAGCAGACATGTCGTAGCCCATGTAAATTTTCCAACAGCCCCCTTGACAAATCATGTCTTCGGTCTTTACACTATGTTGTTCTCTTGAGCATTTATTGCCAATGTGCTGTAAAATTTACATTTTGTCTCATTTAGTTTATAGTTCTACCACTGAAAGCTAAGTTCCATTAGAATTGAGATTTTTTGGTCTATTTTGTTGACTCTTTGTATCCTCAGCACCTAGAACAGCACTTGCCACATTGCAGATGCTCTATAAATATGTTAGTTGAATGAATGAATGAATGGATCAACATTTCCTAGTTTATCTTGATGACAAATCAGAATGTTTACCTATTATATTTTCTTAGAGCAAGGAACAACTATAGGAAAGAGTGGAAACTTTTGAGAGAGAGAGAGTGAATGAGTGTGTGTGTGTGTGTGTGTGTGTGTGTGCACGCCCACCAGCCCATGTGCCTATATGTTTCCATACACACAGTCACCATCCCATTCCCAAGTTAACCCCATGCTGGACAGATTCTCAAAGAAGTAGTGTTGTAAAGATACATTCAGTTCCAGGGACAGCATAGAAGGTAAGGGGTGGTTTGAAGCACCTTGTCAGCCAGAGCCTGGGTCCATCCCAACCTTTTTGTCTTAATAAATCTGGATACTATCCCTTCCCTCAAACTCACCCACTGTCCACCCCTGCCTCTGCCTCCCACTCCCCACGGCAGATGCCCCAGCAGTATTTCAAGTGGAGGAAGGCCCCGAGGGATGAGATGAGAATGATTAACTTTGGTTGAAGTTTCCTTCGAGATTACAATCTCTGTTTCATTCACCCGGGAAGCACCACCAGACCCTCCTCTCCAGTTTGAGCAGATCTTTTATTCCCTCCCTTTTCGGTGGGGGAGGAATGGCTCTTCATTCCACTTTGAAAGCTTCTGTTTGCTGAGCAAATGCTGACCACACAGAGACCTCACTTGGAGCCAGTTACTGCTTCCTTCCCTAACCATCCCCCAGGGCCACAACCCCCACTCCCCCCACCCCAGGGGGAGAGTCTTTCTCGGGGAAAGTCTTTGAAAGCTGCCAGGAACCAACTGGTAGGATTTTTGGAGAGGGAATCAGGGTTTTGGAGAACATCTTAATCCTTCGTTTTGAAATAAAAGCTTGTGGCTATAACATAAGTTTGCGTTTCAGTTCTCAGTAGTAATACAGTTGTTCGTTGTTCATTTTTCATAGCATCTGTTTACATAGTTCTGAGTGCCTTGATTACAGGTTTTAATAGGGATTAGTTGGTGCAACCCCTTTCCATCCCAGAGCTGGGACTCTCTCCCACCCACCTCCCCTTCCAGCCTCTGTACCATAATGTTTAATGTAGCCATGCCTAGACTGAGATTCTTTTCCTTTTGAAACAAGTAGCCTGAGGAATTAATGCATATTTTTGTTGGCACTGCATCAAAATTGACATCACCGGAAATAATGTATGAGTGTCGTCGTTAACTGTACAAACAGGTATCATTTCCTTTTTAGGTTCAGAAGTTCTCTGTAGGCTAAATCATTTGCATTCAGACGTCAATGGAATGAGCTAAGAAATGTTATAGTCATGATTTTTGTGTCATTAAAAGTCATACTTAGGGCTGGAAAGACTTTCTGCAACATTTTTGTGCAGTCTTCGAGGATTTAAAGTATTTTTTCACTCTTAGATTTTCTTCAATTTGACCCACTGTTGCAAACTCCCCTGGGACCATATGGAGGGCTCTTTCATTCAGTGCTTTACGGTAATGGTTTCAGAGTTTGGTGTTAGCTTTTGCATTGCTGAAACTTTTCACAGCTGACTTGATACCAGCACTCAGGCCTGACCTCTCGCTCCTTCAGCACTTCAGAGGTTAATTTTGTTGGGGGATTGGATTTCTTTCCTGGGCTGGGGAATGGTGATCCCTGCTAGCTAGTCCTTTAGTTACAGAGTTGCTGGGTGCCTGGGATTCCCTGGCCCAGTGTGGGCTGGCTCAGCTGGCTAAAGGACTTGCCATCCCGTGAGATTCATTCAGCTTCTTTGTCCACTGTTCTCCAAGGGCCACAATGTAGTGAAATGCTGTGGCCTAGGAACCTTACAAGGTAGGATGATTTTCTAAAATTTCTGGGGCTGGGGGTGGGTGTGGTGCGTGTACTGCCTTGTCTTCCTTGACCGATACAGAAAAGCCTGGTGGAACAGCCTGTGTTGCAGCTGCCTGAATCACCATGGGCTATGTTGTGGTGGGCGGGGGTGGGGAAGGTTGCTGGCCAGGAAATTTACCACCTTCTCTCCCCTCCTGCCCCCATTCATTCTAACCTTGATGGTTTCACAGGAAATTGGGGCATTACCCAAATGTCTCGGGTCCACATAGATACTTGGTTAATGTCAATATTTTCCAAACCATCTTGTCAAATTAGGCTACTGAGCCTGAAAATCTAGGTGTTGATCACCCGGCTGTCTTAAATCGTTATTCCAGAATTTTCAGCTGGTGGGGGCAGTATGAAGGGGTGAGCTGGAGAAAAAGGCAGTGTGGCCCCAGGCAAGGACTGCTTGTGGTTCCCTGATTAAAAGGACTTGCAGTTGGAGGTTTTGTTTGGAATTTAAGGAGCCTGGTGAACTTGTAGTTGTGTTTACTAATACAGCAAATTACTGCGTGGGTTGTGTGTGTGTTGGGTGGGGTGTGTGTGTGTGTGTGTGTGTGTGTGTGTGTGGAAACTAGGCTCCAGGAGAGATGGCATGGGAGGTTTAAGCATAAGGACTTTTTAAAAATTTTTTTACTTCCTTATGACCCATAGAGCTGCCCAGGGAAGCACATTTCTGTTTTTAAGCCAGACAAGAGGAGAAGAAAACAGTGTTCATGACCCCCTTCTACATGCCAAGTGTCTAGCAGACATTCTGTCATTCGATTTCATTGCAAAGCCTGGGAGATTACATTCAATTTTGAAAATCAGCAGTGGGAACTAAGAGAGGTTAAGTAACTTCATCAGTGTCACATAGCTCGTAAGAGGCAAAGCTGGGATTGGAACCCAGGTTCGCTCTACCACCGTGCCTTCCTGGGTGGGCTTGGCATATGAGCTCAGAATGGTTTTACCTGTAATTTTAAATGTGACTTTAGCTGGATGAAGGGAGTACTTTGTTGTGGAGGACTCACCAAAGTACACAGGATGCTAGCAGCACAGCCTGCCTGGGCTTCTCAGATTCAGCTTGTTGCTGGAAAGAAGAGGGCTGTATATTAAGAAGCAGCTCTGCTTTGGCAGTGAGACCTAGCTGGGGAGTTCTGTGATCTTGAGTTCTGTGATCCTGAGCTGCTGGATGGATCAGGCTGGAGCTTTGCTTGTACCTGGTTCAGGAGGAGTTGATCCCAAGTGGAGGTCAAATCAGGAAAGGCCAGTGACCTTGGAGCTGGCCTTGGGCTACTGAGGCTGTGCCCTGCAACTCTGGGTCTACTTCTTTTTTTCTTTGCTTCTTTTTTTTTTTTTATGTTAGCGGTTTGGCAGGGCCAGTATGCGCCCTCTGTGACTCTAGCCAAAGAGGGTCCACTTCTTAAGACGCTGAATTTATGGAGTCTTGGAGGCTACACCTAGCATATTAATGCTGACCGAAACTGTTGGCACTAGCTGTTCACATGTGTGCTGGGGGTGCCTAATTAGCTAAGGCTGAGCTTCTCTTGGGCCGTAGAAGTTTTAACCTGAGGTCCCTTCCCTTTCCTCTTGCCCCAAGAAAGAGGAAGCTTAAGGGCAAGCCCTTGACAAACTGCAAAATGAGGCCAGCCTGTTTTTGGGAGATAGCTGCCTCTCTTGGCTGCCCTGGAACAACTGTGGTTGTTTTGTGCATTCAGGTTCTCACATCCCTAAGATATATTGGGAAATTAGCAGAGGGTTGGAGGGAGGGAGACTATGGGGATATCGAACTCCATGTCCCATTCTGTTTACTCTGGTTTTCAGACAGCCAGCCAATGCCCTGTATTGGATTTGTCCCCCATCCCCTTTCCTTTAATTTCTTCGAGATGTTTTAAGAGAAACTTGTTTGCATTAAAGTGTCCTGGGTATTTTGAATAGTGGTTGGAAGTTCTGAGTTCTTATATGACCATGAACTATTTAAAAGCATGTTCTTAACGTTGAATCAATGTGATTTTGAGAAGCTTGAGGTTCAGAATCAGGCAGATCGGGGTTCAAATCCATCTCTATTTGTTAGCCCTGGCACCTTGGGCAGGTCACATGGCCTCTCTACGCTTCAGTTTCCATGTCTATGAAAAGGGGGCATTAATAGTTTGTGCCTGATAAGGAAGTGGAGAAGTGTTTATGGGATGATGCTTAGCATGGTGACTGTAACCTATTGTTAAAACTTTTAACCTTGCATCAGAGTTTACTGTTATTTTCATTTGCTATAATATGCTGAATTCTGTTGATGTTTAGAGGAAATATATCTTCTCGTAAACAGAAAACTAGGATGAGTTTGTTGGTATCCTTGGCAAAAGCCAGCCAGCAGTGGCCCAAGGGTAAGCAGACCTCTCCCGAGGAGCCTTGAAGGAGAGAGGGCTTTGTGTAGCTGAGGTCAGCAGACATGCTGGTGCCTAGTGTAACAATGAGGGTCTAAAGCATCCAAAGCTCCGGACTTTCCAATGCCACCAAGCCCCTGAAGCCAGAGGGAAAAATTTCACGGTTATTCAGGGGACCACCTACTTGTCAAGGCATGAGTTACCAAAATGGGACAAAGGTGCTGTGGGGTGAAACTCAAGCCTGATGGCTGCTAAATCCCCTTGGAGCCCTTTTTGTGGGGCTTGTATTTTCCTCTCTCTACCTCAAATCACTGGCCTTGCACCTGGCACCGTCTGTAGAAGCTGCTTCTCTCCTGGGACACTGTCCATTTATGGCAGTAAGAAGCAAGTTCTTACACTAGAACTTTATCATCCATTTCAGAATGTATGCCGCATCTCCTTCCTGCAGTCCTTGCAGCTTCCCTAGATCTTGTACTGCAACGATATGCATGGATTGTCTCTCATATACCTGGAGAGCCGTACACAGGGTACCTGATTTGGTCCCAACAAAAGGATTATGGTAACTGGGTGTTATTAGCACTATGCCACCCAGGAGATAAAGGTGCCCTGTTAAGGAGATAGCAGAGCCAGAATTCAAACACAGACCTATTTTATTTTTTTCTGCAGAGCTGTGGCTCCCTCTGTTTGGAGCTTCCTGGGATTAGTGGCGCTAGATGAGACTAAGTTTGCTGGAGTTAGTGACTACTTTTTGTCCTTGCATTAATTCAAGCTTAGGCGCTGGATCATTTTGCACCAGAACTGTAAACTATTTAGGCTGGTCCCAGAGGTAGAATCCAGAGAGAGGTGGCTTGCTTATAGTTTTAATTCAAGTAACTGTATCTTCTTTGGTGTGGGAAACATTGAAGTCCTTCAAAGTCTGATGAACACATGATGAGTGTTCCTTAAAATGTGTAAAATGAATAAATAAATGGGGTGGTTGAACACTTCTGGATCTGTGTTTAAATCCCAGCTTCAACATTTCCTAGATATATGACCCTTGGGGCTATTTTCTCCAATCCTCAATTGCTTAATCTGTAAAATGGGTATAGTGTTAATATTTATCTAATGGTACCTGGGAGAAAATATGTTAAATAACAACAGAGGCTGACCCATAGCAAGCCGTTAGTAAGAGTTCTTGATTATTTTTATCAGAGTTTTGAGGATTAACTAAAATAATGTGTGTAGTGCAGTTAGCACTGGGGCTGACGACTTTAAATGTCAATTAAACTTGGCTGTTATTATTCCCACATAGACTACAAAAGGTAGGACTCTGCAGCAGCCCTGCTTCATCCTTTGAAGGTAGATTTTCTTAATAGGTTCCAGCAGTAGTTAGAGGAGATGGTGCTCCCGAGAAAACCCCCTGGGGAGGAAATAGTTAACATACCTGTTTGGTGGGAAATGTAGGTAGCCAAACCCTTTCTCTTTCCCCAGGGGTTACTTCTAAGCCTACAGTTGGGCTTGCTCACTCATCCACACCAAAGGATCTCATTCCGCTAGGGCCCTGGGGTTTCACAGGAACAATTGCCTTGAACAATAGCCAGAAAACAAGTTCCACCAGTCTGGACTTTTTTGCAACTGAATGCAGCTGTCTGGTAAGGGGCAAGGGCCAGCCCTGTAAATGGGCTCTGCCTTGATTGTGGAGCAGAACTGGAAAATTGAGCAGGTAAGGCCTGGATGAAGCTGGTTGCAGCTCTGTGGTATGAGCTTAGTCACCTGGAAAGAGGCAGACAGAGGGGTGGGGTCTGGCCCAGATTGTTTCCAAGGACAGTAAGGGCCACCTGAAAGACCCAGACTTTGGAGTTTGGGGAGGATTAGGATCCTTGCTTTGTAAAGACTGCTTTTCAGAACCATACTTAGAGAACTTCATCTCTGCTAACCTGCTGTGGTTTTATTAGTGAGCAGAGAGGAACTAATATATATCTGCAACCTGATTTTTTTTACAACATCATTTAGCATGTCCTTCCCTTGAATAAACAACATTATCTCACAGGGAGTTCATTTGAAAGGTGTAATGCTCCTCCCTCCAGATCCTTCAATAACTCCTCTCCGAGTCTTTTGCTGAAAGCAAGGGTGTTTATATCCTGGTGGAAAAATCTGTTTAATGATCCCTGGAACCTTGGGATTCTATTTTGCTTTTCTGCTTCATGAGAGATGATATTGTAAATATAATATCACATTAATTCAGAACCATTACAGATTCTTGCCCCTTTTAGATACTGGCCTGGAAGAGCTCAATATTAAAAATTTGTCTATATTAAATGTAGTATTTCAGGGTTCCTGGTGAAGTCTGGTTTACTTTCTCAGCTCTGTGGAATGCTCACTCCTCATAACAGTGGAGCAAAATAGGTGTGTGAAGCTGAAACAGTTTATGCTTCTTTCATCTGCATTTTTCATGGCAAATCACTTGTACTAGGGTTTTTAAGATTGTGCATTAAGCCCTCTGAGTGGCATTTGGATTCCTGATGTAGTGATGTCAGCATCCCTTCTAAGACTGAAACTGGATCTCCTGGTTTAATGGGCCCTTCCATTTTTGAATGGATTTTCTGGTCACTTTTGTAGAGGCTT